TAAAATAAAAATGGACGAAACACGCTTCAATCATCTCTCCTAGGCCTGTTATATTGAAAATGTATGTTTTACAATTTGCAGTATGATGTTATTCATTGCTAAATTATGGCTCATCATAGACTAGCGAACCAAAAAGCAGGCTAATGCCACTATCATCAGTGGAAGACCGCTAACGTTAACATTAATGAGCTTGGAAACCACAATGAACTTTTTCTGCCTAAATAAAGTAATGATTACCGTATTTATAGCTAGCATATCTCTAGTTACAGTCCCTGTATTGTAAAATGTAAGTTATACGTTGGGAGGAGTGAACATTTAGACATAGTGAAAAAGTATCAAACGTCTCTTGAGCAGAAAAGTTAGCTTTTCTTTTACATGTGTGTGAAATCCAACAATATTTAATAAAAAAAATATATCGGCCGATATATCGGAATATCGGATTTTAAAACCCAAAAATATTTGTATCGGTATCGGCATTCAAAATCATTTATCGGTCGGGCTCTACACTGGAGAAGAATATTGTCAGTAAATAAGCCATCAAAAGGGCTTCAGAAGACTTGGAATAAAGGTTTTTTGGAGCATGAAGTAATGTTTACCCTTCATTGTAACTGAATGAACAGGACTTTCTCCTTTTGTGTTCTACAGAAGAAAGAAATACAGGTTTGAAATGATATGACAACAAAACTAATTTTTGAGCAAACTCAAGCGCAGATTGCCGGGAAGCTCCTAAAACATGTATTATCTAAAGACATTTATTATTGCTGTTTAACCTGAATGTAAAATCTGTCAAACAACCAAATGTACCAACCAATAAAGCCATTTTACAGAGAGCGACAGGCGACACCCCAGATGACTCCAGTCCAATGGTGCCTGTGGGAGACCCTTCAGGTAATGAACGACTGAATCCTGGTCAACTGTCTAAAAAGGAATGAGTAATGGGCTCTTTTTAAAAGACCACATGTTGCTCACAAGAGCCCTTAATGTAGGTTTATTTGTTCATGAGCTGTGTCTGTGTGAGTGAGAAGTGGTAAAGGAAAGAAGCAATGTGTGTTTGTCCATCCAGTTTCATTAACTTGCCTGTTTTGAATAAAAACTTGTACATGTTCCAGACCTTCCAACTTGTCTACTGTGTGTGTGTCTAACTGGATCTGTCTACTGTGAGGAGGTCGACCCAGATATGACATCAGTGCCTGCTCTGCCCAAGGAGACAAACTACCTCTACGCTCGGTACAACAAGATAAAAAAGATAACGGCTAAAGATTTCGGAGATATCGGTGAGTTCTTCCTGACCTGACTTGCTCTGGCATTCTCCTTAAAACCCTTTTACAAATGGGAGAACAAATACAATTCTTCTGGACAGGATAAGGGATTACCCACAGGGAGAGCAGGAGACAAACAGCTGCTTTTCAGAAATTTCATCCAAAAGTTTTCCAAATGTCAAGGGACAGGATATATGAACCGCATATGGGATCGCAAGAGATTGCAAACTCTTCCGTTGCATAAAGACATCGATCACATTTCTGAACCACAATGTTCTGCAAAGAATGTGTATTGACAAAAACTTGGACATGTGGTAAACTTCTCTGTTTGCAGCAGTGCATCATGGGTATAAAAAAAGTTAGCTAAAGGGAGCAGTCAGTGTTTAAAGTGCTTTTGGATCAAAGGCTTATATTAGCCAATAAACCAAAATCACCAGAAAACCACATTTGCTAAACAAACAGAGTTGTGCAATCGTCTATTTCCAAAGTTTTGAAGATAATGTATTACATTTATAGGATAAGCATAGTGGGTGCTAATTAAACCCTCATTAATAGGGTGACTTTCGACAGGACAACAAATAAATAAAGTAAAAAAAAAAAACAGAAATTGCAGTAAGTACGCAAAGAGTAACCGCATGGATGGTAGAGTCTATTTTCAGAGTACAAATTTCTCCAAAATTCAAAATTTACGCACGACCTCACGTTATGTCAATAACGCTTGCACACTGCCTCCGAAACTTTCGTCCATCGCAAAAAAAAATCGAATTGGGTTCGATTTTCTGCGCTTTTCGCAATTTGAATAGAGTATGAAAGTTGTTTTTCAGAGCCACCGAATCACGAATACGAAAAAACGCATTCGAAAATTTCGAACTCAGTGTGCAATGCCCTTAACACCCGTTATTAATTTAATGCTCTTCTTTCCATTTCCATTCATCTACTGTAGTGACTCTAAAGAGAATCGACTTCACTGGAAACATCATTTCTGAGATTGAAGATGGAGCGTTTGCTAAGCTCACCATGCTAGAAGAACTCTCGCTAGGCGAAAACCAACTGGTCAAGCTACCAATGCTACCAACAAAATTAATCTCATTTAACGCTAATCACAACAAGCTGAGAACCAAAGGAGTCAAGGCTAATGCTTTCAAGGTAAAGTGCCATTACATAAGCCTATTTCAATTACATGTTCCAAACTACCTAGTAAACTACCAACATACAACCTTTTGTGTTTGTGTTTGCCACTTTTCTAAATATGTCTTCTATAAAGGGATACACTAATTTCTAGAAAAAATACCCAACCAAATTACTTGGAGCAAAACTAACATGTCTGTTAGTTTTACCATTTTGCACTCAACTTCTGAACAAAACATTTGATCTTCTTTGCTTCCAGAAATTAAACAAATTAACACATCTGTATCTTGCTCACAATGAACTGGAGGCCGTTCCTCTCATTCCAGAGACTCTTCGCACACTTCACCTTCAGGTAATAAAGTCGAACATGTTTTGCATGCACACAAATCATAAAATTGTGAAAAAAAATTACAAAACGTAAATATAAAAAAAAAACGCAATGTCCTCAAGAACTGTTGCCTTTTCTGTTGCTTTCTTTACAGAACAATAACATTTCATCCGTGACCGTGGACACCTTCTGCAAAGGCAACGACACTTACTACATCCGCCCCAACATGAACGAGATCCGTATGGATGGAAATCCTGTCATCCTCAGCCAGTACCCCAACAGTTTCATATGCCTGCAGTCTCTGCCAATTGGGCGATACCAATGAAAACAGAATCAAAGGTACAACGCTGCGAGAAGTCCTTGGATAGCCAATGATGATGACTAAAACCGAGAAGGAAAAGTCATTCAATCTCCTGGTGCCTGTACACAATTGAGTGTACAAAAGGTTAATACCATGGGAACCTGTACTATATATCTAATTATGTAACAGCTGCCCAAACACTTTGATTTCCTCTTGATATTGAACCTGAAACTCAAGTCTTTGAAAGAATAACTTTATATCCCTTGTAAATAACCACTGGAGGCTACTGCTTCGTAAAAAGTGAGATCATGAAAAGCGGCAGTCAAGCTTCTAGTATTCCTCAGAACTCTGTGAATTTCTGACACTTTCTAGTACTGTTAAAAAGTCTTACTTTGGGCTGAAATTAAGTTAACTAGGGGGCGAGGAACCCATACCAAGTTCCAAGACGCTGGTCTTTCTCAACTGACCTTTTCATTAATTGTTTGAATATTATTTATATGCTAAATTTGTAATTACTACCTATGTGTGAATTAAACATGAATAGACTGTACAGTAAAACATTGTATGAAATCAACATATGTTCACTTTAGTTGTTCAAATACACCTTTTTTTCTAAAAACTTGTGACTAGTTTGCTTTAATCTTTTATAACAGCTATGCCAGGCTGCAGTTAAAGCAACAAAAAAAAAAAAAAAAACAGTCTGCGAACTTCAAACCAATCAAACCCAAAGATTGTGCACACAGAAAGTTCTGGAAAAAGTGGGGTAATAATGTTCCATTTTACTTGCCAAATTGGCAGCCATTATAGCACAATGGTCCCAGCAAATAATGGAATGTTTTTCATGCTGCCTCAGAGGCTTCATTCCCAAACTTTCAGTTTCACTGCCATCGAGTCTTGGAATTTGTTCCCAATCTGCAATCTTAGCAATCTTTATCATTCTAAAGAAAGTCTTATGACATATGCCTGTACACATTAGAGACAGCAGAGTAAGTCCAACTACATAAAAAAAGCAATAAAAGTGGAGAACTTTGTTATTCCAGGTAGAGTCTTTGATATATATTCCTAAGAGGAGGTAATTGTATTGTATAGACCATTTTGCAAGATGTAAACAACACTGGTCCAAAACCACTTCCTGTTTCCGTTTTTTAACGGTTTTCTTTATTTCACATGTAAAGAAAACATCTTAAAGATGTTTGATTAACTTTTTTGATTAAGTTTTATATGTTCTGTTGGTTGTATTTTATCCCAGCTTTTATGTAGTGTTAAAAAATTGAAACAGGAAGTGCTTCTGGACCAGTGTTGTTTACATCTTGCAAAATGGTCTATAGATATTGATGCAAATAATCATATTCTTTCTATAACTTAATATATTATTATTATTTATACCCAGGGTTTCTATACATTTTCACTTGTGAAATGTTCAGCATTATATTTGGTATATAACGTTAATATTACATAATTACTATTTTTGTTTTCATTGGTTTTCTCGAAGTGATAACATGCGCTTACATTATTAAAAAGAAACCTAAAACACTTTATAACAGTTTTGCGTAATGAAAATGTGTGCCTTGAATTCATTCGTGTTTGACAATCAATGAAGGATTGCTAAACTTTTGCTGTGAAAACACTCTGGTTGTATGATACATTTATTTTTAGAAATTTCTCTTTTATATTTTAGAAAAAAAGAATAGGGGCTATAGTCTGGAAACACTTTTTCTATACCGTTTCCTTTTTAAAATATATATCCAGACCTTGAAATTATACTTAAATCAAATTATCTCCATAACACGAAAAGTCTGAATACTATGCCGCAATCAATCAGAAAATTGACTCCACACATTCCTTTTGATAAGTTTGTGTAGGTGTCACTGGAGTTTGGAATTACTTTCATGATCAAACATTGCTGTAATTTCTCAGTACTCAAGTATTGGTGCCTATCCCTAGTTGATTGAGCAACTTACTCACTGCTTCTTTTGCTGGTTACCTTAAAGTGCTGAAACGTTTGACGCCTTTCCTCACATCTCTCAGAGAACGTCCTCAAGGTCCTGAAGAACAGGAGAATATCTTTTGTGTCCTCCACTCTGCAAACAAGACAATATTGTAACATTAATACCCAAGAACGCCCAACATTGCAATGCTCACTTTGGTAAATTATACATTTTAATTAAAGATTTAGACTATTTGATGAAAAACTTGACAGGAAAAAGACCTCCTCGATGTAAAGTTCAGCATACAATATAGAAGGATAAACTGTGTATTTGTGTTTAATCCCCTTCACAGGATGACGTTACAAGACATTTTGAGATTTTCCATAGATTTACCAGGGGCCCAAAAACTGTGGCACAAGACACAACTTTCCATGACTCGAGTCTTGTCTGTGAAAAGCTGATGTTGTAATGAGTGATGGAAAAATGGTAAGTCTCTCAAAACTAAATGGATCCACTCCAAGAGTAAAAGACAGCAGCTTAATGGCAAGAGTTAGAGAAAAATCTCCCTGAGAATATCTAAAAAACAGACAATTAATACGCCTTACACTTTTTGGATCTGGGTTAGCTAAAAGATTATAAACATTAATCAGACAACTGGTTTGATTGACATCTAACACTGGTCAAAAGAAACCACAGACAAATCACCCTCGCCAGCAGATCTCATTTTGTACCATGGCCAATTTCCATCATATGCGATTTCAGATTTGTTGATTGGGGACCTTGACTCTGAAAAAGTCATTTCAAGCTTTCCTAGAATGCTAACCTTTTAAGTTCGACAGACTAAACATACTGAATGCCAGAATCACTCTACAGACCAATTAATGGCAAATCAATGTTTGGCTCTTTTGGATAATTTGTCCCTTTAGTTTTTCTCATTTTCCTGCCAAGGCCCTTTGCCATGAAATCTTCTACTAAGTACAAGAATACGTAATACATTAGTTGTAGAGGATCCAAATTAGCACATTTATTATGTTTATCAGTGAGGTCTTCATTTGAAACTTCACACTTAACGCAGTTGTCAAAAATCAAAACATGAACAATGCAATGAACAATAGCAACACAGCTATAGAGGATACACAAAAAAATAAGTTTTAAACGCTCTAAAACAGGTCTCCCCACAAACATGCCCGAATCCACTTATGTACCTGACCACAAGAGTGCTCAAAAAATTCTTCTTTAGTTTACATGGGCCATAATGGTTATAAAATGCGTCTTCCTGAGACGCACAGACAGCTCAGACTTATGCGAGAATCATTATCTCCAGTATTTTTCCAACTCTTTCATGCCAGGACAGACTCTCAGACCAGACAATCTGATCCAGATGTACATTCAGCGACCAGGAAGCTGGCTGCACTTTAGAAAAAGGACCCAAACAAACCGCCGCCAAAACAGCAGCATTACTTCAAACTGTAATTTGTCATCTCAGCCAAAAACAAATTAAATAAAAAATCTTGTGACCAAGTGGAACGACTGTACACTCTTAGAAGAAAAGGTTCTATATAGAACCTTAAAAGGTTCTATCAGCGCTACGTATTTGGAACCCCTAAAATGTTCTATACACTCTTAAAAAAGGGTTCCTCTGGGTTTCTATATAGAACCCTGGGGTTCCATACTTGGCCAATAGAACCTTTTACCAAAAAAAAAAATGGTTCTATATAGAACCATTTTGAAGTTTCATATATGAAGCGGGGGATGGAACCATTTCTGGTTCTAAATAGAACCATTTCTTCTAAGAGTGTAGGAGATCCCAAAGTCATGCCTTTAGAAAACAAAACTCTGAAATGGACTCAAATTCATTGGTAATTCAAATGTTTAAGTGTAACGCATTTTTATCAAATCATATTGGGGTCTAAGTTGTAATCAGATGGTTGTTGATTTTGTTTTGTTGAAAGGGTTTAAATGAACAACTACCAAGTAGCATGAACCTACGGATAAGACCACTAAACCTCGGCTCTCTTTTCGAGTATTTTGGAGGTATGCCGTACAACACATAATCTAAAAAACTTAACCTTTTAATTATCCCAGCTGTATTCTCTGTGAAAGTCTGGATACATCAACATCAAATGGTGTTACTTTAATGGTAGAAGACAGAACTGTACCTCGGACCACAGTGATGTTTAACACTAAAAAACCAGCAACAGGTAAATCAACTACAACTATCACTTTCCAGACTGATCTCATGAAGTAGCGTGTGTATGCCACGCCAATTCGTATTTCCATTTTTGGCGTGCTATCAAGACGCATAATCGCCTTTCAGCGTGTTTATGAACGCCGTTGACTTAACGTTATATAAATATATGACTTACCTCAACCCCGTCCCTAAACCTAATCGTCACTGGGGTTAATGGCATTTATGACTGTTCCCTTACCATCCTAGTTAAAAAAAAAGATATGACTTACAACAACCCCATCCGTAAACTTAACCGTCTCTGGGGTTAATGGCATTTATGACTGGAGATTTGACTGCGTGTACCGCGCGGGATGACGCGGACGTTAATGGCGTAGACATACACACATACACGCGGATACACGCAGATAGCTCAAAATGCGTAGAGATAACACGCCATCTGACTCGAAAGTGGCGTGTATGTTTACGCAAAAGTCATGATGTCATGTTGCACTTTCAGGTCTTTGGTGGTGTTGTCAGTACAGACTGTCCTGTCTCACACAGTTCAGGGGTGGTCCACATGTTCACTTATTACAGTACACACACTGGGGTGCTGCTGGCAGTCATTGACATGCTGGTGCCATTTGCTGACAGTTTAATGAGGGTGACATGTTACGGACCGTCAACACAGCACTTTTAAACATTAAATCCACACATCATTATGTTGGGTGCAGCGTTCTTCTGAACTCAAATGACTGAATCATTATAGCACCGGCAGAATAGCCGACTACAGTTTAGTAAGAGAGATTACTCCACCAGCATAAAAACTAATCCTGCCTTGAAGCTGCCATGTAGGAACTTTACAAAACAAATGAAATAGAACGGAATAAAATTTAATCCCATAATGGAAGAAAGATGCAGACTCCACACCTACGGACCATGCACACGGCTAATGACCAGAGACGTTTATTTGTTAATTTGGTCTGGACCACGTATGCTGCAAGTATAACAAAAAAACCTCAAACACATAAACAATCCTATTTTGTCTAACGATGGAATGTCTAATTCTTATCTAATAAAATTTTTATATTTTGCTCGAATGCTGCCTCATATGTAAGATTCTCAAGAGTACGGGACCACACCTGATCCTGCAACACTTGTCAATCAGTCCTAAATGAGAAAATCAGATTTCTGTGGTAACTGTAACGTGTTAACAACGGCTGGTCAGTGTTCACTCAGCATCCGGCTAATGAATGAGCCACCTGGACACATTTATTTCCCTTGTATGGAGTTTTGTTTGGATTTGTATCTTTTTACAACACTAACATAAAGCAGAACGCTCTTCTGTGATGTCTGGGAATTCACTTGTCTGATGTTTACTTACACTGTAGGTTTTATGTTGTGTAACCTATTATGCAACTTGGATTTTCTCCAAATGGGATTTCTGTTGATTCAATCATGCAAACAAGCAAGATCCAACATTGTGTGAATGTGAAGGGTAAAAGTTATCCATGGAATCCGCTTACCTTTAAAAACAAATGTTAAAAATAATTACATTAAGTAAAATACAAAACACACCAAAGATATTAAAGACACAATATGTAGGTTTCGCCGCTAGAGGATTGCTTATTAAAAGCAATAACAAAAGCGTAGCGTGATCTTCACCTCAACAGCCAATTTAAGTTTTATTAACTTTATAAAGGTATGAAGCGGGGCGGGGCAGAGGTCCGTGGGAGCGGAATGAGGCCAGTGGAACGAATGCTATTGAGACACCAGAGCGACACACTGGTCTCGAGTCAAGTCCCATGAGGAGCCCCAGAGCTTTAATTATGCTTATACGCCATTGTCGCTGCTTTAGTTTACTTGTTTTGCGTTTATTTTATGATTAAAGTTACGTTTAACGTTTGCTGGTTCCCGCTTACTTTTTCCCTGAACCTGAAATTCACATTATTTTATTTCACTCTCATAAAACTGCTGAATTTCTACTCATGCAGTCACTTTATTTGAAAAATTAAATTTGTGAGGTAACAGCGCTGTTTTACTAATCATATTAAAAAAGATTGTTGAGAATTACCGTAAAACTTTAAATAATAGCCGGGTCCCAAATAGACACCTGTCTCTTTTACACGCCTGATGTGACTGCAGGTCCGGGTAAATAAAAGCCGGTCTCAAATAGAAGCCAGGTCTTTTTTTTTTTAAGTTTTGGTTTGTATTTATTCTTCTAAAACCCATTAGATCGTCCGCTTTTTGGCGGTCGCCAAAGCAAATTTTTGTCCCGCCAAAGCCTTTTTTTAACGATGAGTGATGTAGAATAGAGACTGTCACGCTTTATAGGGCACATAACGAGCAGAGAGAGCGTGCAGGGCACGCTCGCGCACTCTCACATCTTCAAACAACACGAACGCTGTCTTGCTCTCTCTCCCTTTGCCCATTTTAATCAAAACCAATTGACACAATACTAAAAAGTCGGAAGACCGCAGTTTCACAAGGAGAATTTGGAGATTTTTAGAGATTAGAGACTATCTTACACTCAATGAACAACATCTCAACACTAAATTATAAAGGCATGTCTCATATAGGCGCCTGTCTCAAATACAAGCCGGTGTAGTTCGACGGTTTGGGAAAATAAAAGCCTGGGCTATTATTTGAAGTTTTACAGTATGTTACGTTACTCTACTTGTTGAACACTGCAGTAATCAAGATCAATATGACGTCACTGACAGGTGAAGCAATTACATAAGCCGTTACACTGGTTAAAAATGCGCATATTTTAATCCAAAAATCATACATACATATTGTGTCTTTAAGTATTTACTAATAAACCACTTTACCTGGACACAAACGCAGAAAAATCTTTAAATTCAACACCATCCACAACAATATTGAGCTCTGTAACTCTCCTGAGAAGAGCATCATCCTCCTGTAAAAAGATACTTAGAGTTAAACAAGATCATAAATAATCTCTTTAGGTTTACTAGGTCTGCATTTACGCATTTACCTGTCATGAGACTGAAGGCTTTTAGGATTTCCGTGACTCTCTCCCGGAAAAATTATTTTTGTTGTGAAGACTGTACAATAATCTGCTTTCACATCTTTTTATGCTTTAAAGAACGGGTCAAGTTTGTTCTCCACTATTCTCATGGTAAGGATGAAATTTAAATAAAACTTAAAATTTACTGAGACTTATATTCAGATGTTCAAACACAAATAAAACCACCATCTTCAGAGACACATCTTGTTCTTGGATCTTCCCACAGGCTGCCAGTTTAAAATCACAATTTTTAAGAGTGCCATCAATCACCAACCAACAATTCTGTTGTAAATGATTTAATGCACCAGTGTAAATGTTTGCTCCAAGGAGGTGCGTCAAAGAGATGTATTTATGCTTGTAATGAAGATTTCAGAGAAGCAAGCAAGAAGAACTAATAAAACCGAGTCTAATCCATAAGAGACATTTTAGGACCTACATAAATCTCTGATGTTGAAATAAAAGTCATGGCCAAAATGGAGGCAAGCTGCCCTCTAGTGTTGAGTAAAAGAAAATATACAGACTTCCTCACTGGTTGTAATAATCTAAGCATTAAGTGAATGGAGTTTGTTTGTAGGTGTTATGTGAGAATCTCAGTACTTTTCTAATTTTACACGTTTTCGGAAGAAAAATGTAATGGTGCTTGCCAATTCAAAACGTTATGATGCTTATCACTTCCCTCACTTCTCAACAAGCCAGATGATTTGAGGCATCATACAGACATGTGAAATACTTATGATTAAGGGTTACCTTTAAAATTAAGTATGAGGTTTAGGAAGCACCACTAATATTTAGAGAATAATACCAAATAGTAGCTGATCTACAGCATATTAATATGTACTTTAAAAGTGTTATGGCCAGAGCCTTGTTGCAAAAAAAAAATATATATATATATATATTTAACAAATTATCACTAAGGATTTTCAAATTAAGGCAGGGCTGTACATGCCTCAGGTCCTAAAGTTTTGCGTGCATTTTGAAAATGTATATTAATTTTAATAAATATTACATGTGTTAATGCTATTAAGTGCAGGCATAAATACTTGTGATTTCTTTGTACCTGAATCTCAATCACAGCCAATTCAACCTGGAACAACAGTACACTGCAGTGACCTGCAAGTCTGAGCTGCTGAACAAGTTTTCTTTCACCTGAAGAGACAACAGAAGATAATAACACTTAATTGCTTTTTTTATAAATTAAAATACTATAATTGTTATAAATTATTTTGTATTTACAAGCAAAATTTCGAAATATGCCTACAGGTCTGACAAGTGAATCTCACTTTTGTGTAACGTCTTCACAAAACACTCATTGAGAGCAATCCCGTTTATTTCCGTCTGTCGTCTGAGGTCTTTCTCCAAGTCTCGGACTTCCGTGTGGAGTTTTGAAAGGGCGCGTTTATGTGCTCCTTCACCTCCTCTTTCCTCACAGATTGAATTTCTGAAAGAGAAAAAAAGTGTTGAAACTTCAATGTAATTAATTTAGTGAACTAAAATCTTCAAGTGAACCATTTTCAGTGAGGTTCTCCTACAAAGATTTCACAACCAAGGCAGACGGGGGTTGTTTATTTTTTGTCCATTTAACAGATTATGCTGCTATATGACACCAAACAAAATCCAAAGAAAGGTGCTAACAGTTCTTCTTGTAGTCGATCTCCATGCTGTATGAAAATGGACCGTAAAGTCTCCTCCTGTTCAGCCTCCAGCATTTCAATTTCCTGTTGGAGCATCTGGATCTCTTCCTCATATTTCTGCTCCATGATCTTCCTCAATCAACTAAGAAGTAATTTATGAAAATACATAGAGAGAAAGAGAGAGTAATTACATGATATATACACAATAACGTCATCATTTATATAATAACATTATGTAAACATTTGCATGCCACTAGTTTTATTATGATGCAAAGGTTATAATTAATCAGCTTAAGACACGAACCTTGAAATTTAACTTATCTAATTAATATTAATAACATATTTCAACAAAATATGTAACGTTAACATACGGAAAGTAAGTTAATTTCACAGCAGTTCAAGTCAAAAACGTTAATTAACATTACGAACGGACAAATGATCCTGCAGCTATCTCTATGTTTATTATAAACATTTGTATAGTTTCATCGATGTTTAGTTGTATATCAAATGACAGGAGCTCGATTTGACCATAAAATATAACGTTAATCATCAATCAGAAGAGATTTCACTGACGTAACGTTAATAATAACATAAAAAGTTATGGTACAAATCTGTTTGTTGTGCCTTATATGGACTTAATACCTCATGTAGCACTTATATCAATCTTACAACCAAATGTTTAAAGGAATAAGCTTACTTTAATATTCTCCTGAAGGTAAACAGCTCGACTTTCTGACGGATTCAACTATATCCCGCGTCAACGCGGAACATACCAAATGGAAACTGGATGGGTAAACCCTATGGGTAAACCATGTCCAAAAACAGCTTAAAACATTTGCATGTTCATCTAAATAGCATTATTATGAGGTCACTTTGTTATAAACCCATTTATTACTGAGTATAGTTCACGTTTGGATATGAAAAATTGGACATTTGTCTAATAATGATAATCTTGTGATAAATGGAACTTTCCATTCCATTTTCAAACGGAACTAAAGAAGACGCGTCCATGGTGTCACAGCGGAACAGTTACAGTGTAACATCAGCATGTACATGTGAATCTTTGGCATGATCGTAAGTGTGTTTTGAGTTTACATGAATACTATATTCTACCTTGGGGAATAGTTTAGGAACTCTTTAACTATGTATGTTAAAATATGGCATTGGGGAAATTAAGATCATACAGTTTGCACTTCTGTAATAATCATACGTCCATGTGTCAAATGTTTTTAAACATAATTTACATAATTTGTATTTTTTTTTCAATGCAGTTCAAATATTTTCTTTTTATAGAAAAATTAAATCTGCTTACGTTTGTGTACAAGGCTTACACTGTACATTTTACACAGATATACATTAGTTCTACATTAGTATCTTTTGAAGTCTGTCTGGGATGGAGACTTCTGTATGTTTAGTTATGTGTGTTTTGATGATATACAGAAGGCTTTGGTTTCGTGACATCTGGCCATGAAGCGATTGTACATTGGAGGTCTCGGCCACACTGTGTCGGAGAAGGACCTCAAAGACAGATTTGGCAAATTTGGGGATGTGTCAGATGTGGAAATTATCAGAAGGAAAGATGAGCAAGGTAGGAAATCTGATGAAAACCAAATTAACTTTTTTTTTACATTCACTGGGTACCCATTCAATATTATTCTTGATTTGTGCATAATCTGTTTGCAGGATCTCCTCTGAAAACATTTGGCTACATCAACATAAACATCACAGATGCTGAATACAAAAGATGTACATGCATTTATTTAACGTTAAATTTTACTTAAAGAGTGTTGCTGTGTCATGCAGTAATTCAATCTGCGCATTTGTTTTTTATACAGGTATGGGTGTCTTAAATAAATCCACATGGAAAGGTGGAACTTTGCTCATTCAGCTGGCAAAGGAAAGTTTTCTACATACGTAAGTATGCATGTGTTTGTGTACATTTTGCTATGTTATATATTTGTGAATTGCTATACACTGCCCAGCTGTTTGGATTTAAATATGCAGATGCTTAAGAGTCTGTGATTGGATCATTATTGCAGTTTCTGGCATGTTATATATTTGGCAACAGCTCTTTTAACTATACTTGATGGAGTCTGTAGCTTTTAATTTCTTAAACAACCATGTTGGAAGACGCATCATGGCCGTATTCCTGGATGACAATGTCAAGATGGCATCAGGCTCAATTTGTGAAAGAATGGTTGAGAGGGAGCATGAAGAATCACTTTCACACATGAATTGAGTCTAGACCTTAAATTCATTGAACATCTTTGGGATGTGCTGAAGGAGACTTTACAGAGTGCTTGACTCTTGCATTGTATCGGATGCACCTCGTGATGGAAATAACATCACAACATTTAAGTGTGGACTCAGGTGTCATTTCATGTGTGAAAGTGATTCTTCACGCTCCCTTCAAACCATTCTTTCACAATTTGAGCCTGATAAATCTTGACATTATCTTCCTGGAATATGGCTATGATGTGTCTTACATGGTTGTTTAAGAAATGAAAAGCTACACACTCCATCACTTAGGGTTGTAAGAACTGATCCCAAACATAAAATATGCTTTAAACATAGTAATCAGTGCAATAATGATCCAATCATAGACTTTAAATCTACATTTTCTTTGTCAGACTTGCTGAAGAACGACAGCAAATGGTTGAAAAGACCAATACCCCAAAGATCATCCCTCAGGAGAAATTAGTAGACTCACTTAAAGCAGCCGGTGTTGAAAATTTCCACATGAAAGCTGCTGTTCCAGGGACGGAAATTCCTGGCCATAAGGTCTGTGTCCATAATTTTCTTTAGCTAGGAACATTCGTTAAGTTGAAATGGCCCCATGCTGATTTAACATTGGTTTTGTGTTTCTCCACTCCTCCAGGATTGGGTTGTGAGTAAATTTGGGAGGGTCCTTCCTGTCCTGAATCTCAAATGTAAAGGAAAAAGCAAAATATCCTTTGTGTTACTGTTCTATTGGTAGATTGGAATTGCAAGATTTACTAAGATTTTTAGATATGCTTGGATGTGTAGAAGTGCCCTTTTGCTTGTTTCTTGTTTTTCTTGCTAAAAACTTATTTTAAAGTCAATAATCTATAGACAGCAGCTGCAATTTCCAAGCTACAAAGTTGTAGATCTGGGATCATAATACAGAACAAAATGTCATGGTTTCCAAACAGTTCCTAATCTTCCCTTAACTCTTGAGTACATCTTCAAGTATGATCCATCCAAACACTGCCATAACATCAAGAGACTGGAGACTGCGGACGACGTCACATCAGTGTCCAAACTGACATGGGAGATGGAAGGTGGAGATGATGAAATCAGTAAGAAAAGGAGAGGAGAGTTTCCAAAGCAGAAACCGTGTCCCAAAAGACCTAAAGTAGACTTGAGTTCATTTCTTAGCAATGTGGCTCAGAGCAGTAGAAGTAATGCGGCTGCCATTGGAAACGAGAACAAAGCGGTGATCCAACAAAACGGACTCTCAGGAAAACAAAGACCTGTTGTTGAAAAGCCAGTTTGTGTTTTGAACAGTGATGCTGACTCTGAAGACGAAATCAGGATGTTGGTTTCTCAAGAACATTCGAGGAACCCAAAACAAACCTCTGCAGAGGATGACGATGACAACCTGGAGGTGGTGGGAGATGATTTTGCTGTTAAATCTAACGCTTTTTGGGGCACAACGGAACAAGATGGCGAAAAATCGCTATTAACTACATCAAAAGATGATGAGGATTACGATTCAGCGGACACCGATGAAATACTAACCCAGAGAAAGACCCAAAAAACACAAGTTGGCCAAGAATCCCAAACAAAGTCCAGTAGAAACAAATCTTCGTCTGAATCTGACGGTGGTAGCGACGAGGTATCGGATGATGATGTTAGCATAGATTCTGAATATGAAGCCATGATGGGGAAATGCTGCCGCTTAGAGCTCTCCCTAGCGGATTTGGAGCAGCTAGCTAAAAACACAGAGGAGATTTCAGATGATGAAAGTGTAGAAGAACCCAAAGAAGAAATCAAGACCCCGAGCGCACCACTCAAAAGACGAGGTATTAACCCTGAAGATATTCTAGCTTCGCTTTTTAAAGGCTACACCCCTGAAAAAGAAAGTAAGAATCGGGTGACCAAGGGATCTCTTCCAGCTTTCATTGGAACAAAGGATCTCTTTGGAGGTCCAGAGCCCATCTTGAAAAGAGTTGCTCAGAGTATTGACTGTGAATCTCCTAAAAGACTCAATTTGAAAGAACGAAGCGTTTCAGAAGATACAAGTCAGATACAGTCTTCAACCCGTCCATCTCAACAGAAGCTGTCCAATTTAACGGTACAATCAAGTTCAAAGAAACTTGAAAACCAGTCGTCAGAAGATGATTCTTCGAGTGAAGAAGGTGGCGAATGTGCTGAAGTCGTCACATCTCCAGCGACACAGTCGGTAGGTACCATCTCTGAAACCAAACTGAAGACTGTTAGCTCTAACTCAAACACCCCAATCAAACCCAAGATGACGAATCCCTCCAGATCTTCCAGTAGTGACTCAGAGAGCAGCGAGAGTGAAGATAGTTCTGAAGTCATCACTTCTAAAACGTCCTCAGTGACACAATCGATAAGAACCAACCCTAAAACCAAACTGAAGACTGTTAGCTCGAACTCAAACACCCCAATCAAACCCAAGAAGACGAAGCTCTCCAGATCTTCCAGTAGTGACTCTTCTAGTAAGGAATCGGAGACTAGTGATGATGAGGAGAAGTCCAGGCCTCAGCCAAAGGATTGCAAACCAGTCGATTCACAGTTGAAAGTTGAGTCGCATTCAACAGTTCTTCACTCAACGGTCATAGACGCTCAGAAACAACAGAAGGACAACCAGAAACGTCTTGCGGCGCTGGAGCAACGACAGAAAGAGGCCGAACAGCAGAAGAAACTCATTCAGGGGGCTCTTTCCAGCGTGGTGAGTACAACTATTGTATAAAACTAGTCCATACAGCTTGTATTCTGTACTCTACACCGTCTGAATATGGTTTATATGAGGAAAAGGCTGAATTTTAAGGGATTCGCTATGCATCTATACGCCTTATTCACGGCTGCGCCATCTTTGATTTTTAGTGAGAATGAAAGCGAGGCTGTGAGGGATAGACATGCATCTCTTCAATGGGCTGTACTGTACTGTCATGAAACACTGGAAAAATATCTTTCCAAGAAATGTCAGCTGACAAAAAACTCCCGACAATGTAAGCTGTGGAAAATTGTAAGTAATCTAGCCGCTTTATTCAGCTTTTTACAGCGGATGCCATTGGAAACGCGGTAAGTCTATCCCTCACAGCCTCACTTTCATACCTGTCATGGCGCTGCTCTGAATAAGGTCTAAACCATATTGGTTATTGGTCTATTTTAGATTTATTTATTTCTCCGGCTCATGGACCTTTCCTGATACCAAATATCCTCCTCTATTTTTCATGTTTCATAATGTACATTATAATGTTGTGATGTCTAAATTCACATGTAACCATTTAAAATGATTAATTTTAGTTTTTAGTCTTTTAATTTATTCACACAGTCTTTTAATTTATTCACACAGTCTTTCAATTTATATTTATAGTGTAACTTTAATGTTGGCCATTTCTTTACATTATTCATAAATTAATTATACAGAAGAAAAAAGAGAATTCCTGCTCAGTATTAAAGCTTGCGAAACATAATACATGTAAAAAAAAAAAAACAATTTTCGATCACATGAGCTGACAAACATTGTTTGACTGGAAAGTTGTGTGACAAAAACATAATAAATATTTTTTCATTTTGTCTTTAGCTTTTGTACTTTTTTGTTCATTGATTTCATACATTTTTGACTGGCCTGAATATTAATATTAATCTCTTTGAAAATCAAATTTTTCTTTTAGTGCCACTCACTCTAACATGGTCTTTTTTCAGGACAAGGTGGAAACGAACAAAGGCAAACACATTGTGTTTGATTCTGATGAAGAAGAGGACAAAACCACAAACAAACCAGAAGAACAACCAACAAGCCAGAAAAAAAGCCTTTTTAAGGACGATTCTGAACCCGATGATCAACAAGCGTCCACATCAAAAGAAAAGGCAAATATGGACCAAGATTGAAATTAGAAGTTGAACTCTTGAGTTGTTCTTTGTGTTTATTTTCATCATAATTCTACAGGAGAACAAAAAGCCAGGTTGCAACAAGCTGTTCAACAGTGACGATGAGGATGATGATGATGCTGAGGATGATGGTTTCCAGATAAAGCCTCAGTTTGAGGGCAAAGCTGGACAGAAGGTTTGGGTTAAGACTCTCGTTCAGGATAGAGATTTTGTTTAGTTTGTTTGAATTCTCATTCATCGTTCTTCATTCGTTTTCAGCTCATGAAGCTGCAGGCTAGATTCGGAACAGATTCGAGATTCCAGATCGATTCGAGATTTCTGGAAAGCGACGATGAGACTGAAGAAAAAGGTAACTTGTGATTCGTGATTTATTCCAGTCCGTTCTTGGACCTAAACGTGGTTCAACGGTTTCAATCTTTTAATCTTCAGATGCTGCGGCTCCAGAAAAAGATGCAGAAAAGCAACTTCTTGAAGAGAAAAAGAAAAGTCTAGACATCCTCCAGAGCATTTTAAACACGAGCATACAGCCACAAAACACCAAAAAGACCAAGACATTCAAGTATGACTTTGTATTCAGATGTTCTTTTCGCACACTTCATGTTTTAAAAAAAAATAATTTATGTATCTTGTTTGTCTTTGCAGAGATGTTTCGAGTCTGCATTACGACCCAACACAAGAGGAACACGCCGCTTTTGAATCCAAGATCGAGCAGCCGAAGAAAGAAAGGTATTATATTATGAACTTTTAGTTAACTTTGCTCCTCATGCTGTCATTTAAAGGAATAGTTCACTTTTAAAAAAAACTTTAGCTGATAATTTACTCACCCCCCATGTCATCCAAGATGTCCATGTCTTTCTTTCTTCAGTCGAAAAGAAATTAAGGTTTTTGATGAAAACATTCCAGGATTTTCTCCATATAATGGACTTCATTGGGAACCAAACGGTTCAAGGTCCAAATAAGAGTTTCAGTGCAAACTGTTCAAAGGGCTTTAAACGACACCAGATGATGAATAAGGGTCTTATCTAGCGAAACGATCGCTCATTTAAAAAATAAATAAAAAAGTTTAAGTTTTATAAGCCCAAATTTTCGAGTCATGACTCAAAGGGTCATCGTCTGGTGTCGTTTAAAGCCCTTTGAAGCTGCACTGAAACTGTCTTTTGGACCTTGAACCGTTTGGTTCCCATTGAAGTCCATTATATGGAGAAAATCCTGGAATGTTTTCATCAAAAACCTCAATTTCTTTTCGACTGACGAAAGAAAGACGTAGACATCTTGGATGACATTAGGGTGAGTAAATTACCAGCAAAAGTTTTTTTTAAAGTGAACTATTCCTTTAAAATTTGCGTCTTTGGTGTCGTACAGCAAAGCAGCAAGACGAAAGAAACGCGAAGAGGCTGAAAAACTCCCTGAGGTGTCTAAGGACATTTACTTTGAGGTGGCGGCGGATTTGAAGGAGGTCTTCGGGATGCCCAAAGAAAACCAGGTCGAGAGGGAGACGGTTTCATGGGACAAAGAGGCAGAAGAGACTGAAGATATAATGACGCCAATGGAAGTTTCCTTCCCTTCTAATGTTGAAGTCTATGAAGACACATCAGGCGGATTCAAGTTCTCCTTCTTTGGCGAGGACGGCGCTGCGGAGACGACCACTAAGACAGGTGCATTGATCATTTACATACAATTCATCTAGTTTTATTAGAGATAGATCATTGGATATTGGTTTTCGCCATTGGTTTATCAATCGTTTTCATTCAGGATTGGTGTTTGTGTTTATTTATGCAGCTTATTTTAGTGTTATGAAATTACTTTTACATTATACCACATTTAACAGTTCGATGTTCAAGTATAAATTAACTGTTTTTTTTGGCCAATCAGACGAGTACAAAATAGAGACGTTAAAAGGAGCCAAGTTCTCTTGGCAAGTGGACCCTCGTTTCCAGGACAGCAGTTCAGACGAGGAAGGCGTGGACGAGGTTGAGGAGGACCAATCCGCTTCCAGCAAAATCACAGAGTAATTATATTATCATTTAACATTTTAAACTATTAGATCTTTTCAAATATGTGCCTTGTAGAACTACAAAATTAAATGAAGTACAAATAAAGAAGATCTCACTCTCTTTAGCTTTTTTTCTTGTTTGATTACAGTATATTTATATAACAGAACATCAATATTTTCAATTAAAGTGTTGAACTTTGATTTATATTTTGTGCAGGGAACCAACACCATTAAAAAAGAGGTTTTTCTTTTTCTATCAAGATGACGAACGGTTAAAAGGTGAGATTTAAACAGTTTTTCTTTATTAAAGGGTCCTGACAACTTAAGATGTTCATGATTAATTAAAGATTTTCACAAACAAACTATAACAGCAGCATATTTGATGGATTATTCATGTGTGTGTGGGTAAATTAAAAAGGGTTTTTATTAGGGCTGGGTAATAAATATCGATTTCTCGATATTAATCGATTCTCATTTTTACAAACCGATATCGATTCTTAAATCTCAAGAATCGATTAGTCATCCTGTTTCATTTGTATGAATGAGACATTGTATCGCGGATGTGCGCATCCAACAAATCGCAATCTGCCGAATCTGCGTTTCAACCGTGGAAGGACGTCAGTTAAACAGCTTGTAATCAATGTCATGTATCGTCATATTTACCTCAGAAAACCCACATCAACTCGTTAGTCCACACCCGTTAGTGTTCTTCAATATTTAATGCATATTTAAATAAATATGGCAAGTTTTTATGACAGCCACCATTTAAATGTTTATATTTCATATAATCTTCTTATTATAAAAATAAATAAAAGTGTAATTTAAGTGTTTGTATTGCTACAAAACAGTTAATTATTACCTTCATATTAGGCTAATGAAGCCTAGTAGGCTACAACTAGACTATATATATATAGACCATAGTTTACAGCATTTAAGAGATTTGATTCCCTTGAGAAAAATTGCCATTTATTGTAACTGATATCCAAAATAATCGATATTGAATCGAATCGAATCGAAATCGAATTGCAAGCTTGTGAATCGAAATCGAATCGAATTGTGAAATTTGTCTCAATACCCAGCCCTAGTTTTTATGTTGTTGTTTTTTTAAATCGATGTACCTTTTGTTGCTTAAAATAATCTGCATGTGAAACTTTTTTATTTTTTCATCAGAGGGGCCGGGAATGTTCTGTAGAAGCGGAAAACTTGGAGACCAGAGGGAAGCCTGGGAAGAGAAGAGGACGTCACTCAGAGATGTATGTGATTTATGAGGAAGAAAATAATAATTCTGAAAATTTATAATATACAACATTAATTTCATTTCAAAGAAAGCTAAATGCGTCCTTGTTAAGTAAAATGTAAACGCACATGTATATGACATTAAAATGCATTTGAATATAGTATATACATATTGTTATTATTAATAATATATGCATATTATTAAAATGCAACATTTTATGCGCAGTCTCTTGGCTTGAAACAGATTGTGGATTCCTAGTTTACCATACGTTAAAATTGTTGTTTGTAGAGCCCGACCGATAAAGGATTTTGAAGGCCGATACCGATACAAATATTTGTGGGTTTTAAAATCCGATATTCCGATATATCGGCCGATTATTTTTTTTTTATTAAATATTGTTGGATTTCACACACGTGTAAAAGAAAAGCTAACTTTTCTGCACAAGATACGTTTGATACTTTTTCACTATGTCTAAATGTTCACTCCTCGCAACGTATAACTTACATTTTCAATATAACAGGCCTAGGAGAGATGATTGAAGCATGTTTCGTCCGTTTTTATTTTATTTTTTAAATATTCATTTATCGGCCATTATAACTGCCGATACCGATATTATGGAAAATGCCTAATATCGGCCGGCCGATATATCGGTCTGGCTCTAGTTGTTTGACATTTGAAAGTACAGATATTTGTTGATCAGTTTGTATTTCCCACCAACAGGAGTGTCGCAAGAAACACAGAGATGCCAAAAGACGCCAGAGGCCGTCGCTGAAGACCTGAACAATTCTTACAGAAAACTGGTTTTCAGAGACATTGTTGCACCCATTCATATTCTGTTTAATAGCTGTAATTTATTCTTCAAAATAACAGCATCTAATGCATATTCCCTTTGTATGATTGAAACATGTTTTCGATTGAATAAATGTTGGTTTGTACCACTAGAGGGTGGTGTGATGATACTTTCATGACTAGTACAGCAGGCCTCAGTGTTTGTTTTCATTCCTCACTCACTTTCTCCAAACCACACAATCAGCCCACAGAGTGTTTTTGTCCAAAAACTTTTGTGCTTTTTATGTATGCCTGTGCCACAAGATCATTCAGTACGCTCTGCCCAGAAGATCATACAAATGTTTTATGAAATAATAGGAAAATGTGTGGCTGTATGTGTGAATGTGAATGAGAAAACTCTTCGGCCTTGAGTAATGATAGTGATATTTGACCTCTATCGTTATCTGCAGACTCAAGCAGTTTCCACTAACTTCTGCAAAGGGGCCTTTAAGATTTCTTTATTTGATGAAAGGATTCTTTAATTGTAATAATTTGGCTTAAAAATTGCATATGTGTACAAGTAATATATATATATAACTATAGGTTTTGTAAATTGACACTTTTATCAGTTTGTAATCACTTTTTTTTGTTGTTGCTCTTATTCGCAGTTAATTAGGGGCCAAGCACCGAAGGTGCGGAGGCACCTATTGTATCTGTGCCGGTTCTTATTATTATTATTATTATTATTCTTCTTCCGACTGGGCTTCTATGGCAGCCCATAGACCGGTTTGCGGGAAAGTTGTTTTGGTTTGACATTCTGATAGAGGACAGTCCCAACTTTAAATACACCAATTTTGGTGTCTCTAACTCATTCCCTCTAGCGCCACCAACTGTCCAAAGTTTCACTTTTATTATGCTAATAACTTTTGAACCGTAAGGCCTATCAACAAAATTCTTTTTTCCTCTTGTTCCTGAGCTCATGCCGATTCGATCGCACCCTATGTCGTCATTTTCCGTCATAAAAAAACGGCCGCCATTTTGAATTTTCCAAAAAACCTACTTTTGCGAACTCGTCCAAGACGGTTTGTCCGATTTTCACCAAAATCGCACCGGATCATCTCCAGGCAGTGCTGACAAAAAGTTATGGAATTCAAGATGATTCGAATAACCGTTTTCGATAAACGCGTAAACAAAATTTACGTAGCGCTTGCGAAAACAGACGTGAGGTTGTATCTCCGCAACGCTTACTCGTTTTCACACCAAACTTGGTACGTGTTATCACAAGCATGACCTGAGGCTACATGCAGCGTTTCGGCGCAGCACCACCTAGTGGTCCGGAGATATGAAAAATGGCTATTTTTGCTCGTAACTTCTGAACGCTTTGTCCAAAAATCATAAACTTCATCTCGTTAGATTCAGGGCATCATGCCGAGTCGACCGATATCCAATTTTCCCAGATCGGCCATTTTGGCTGTCGGCCATTTTGAATTATGTGCTAAAATGCTGTATTTTTTGAACGCATGAACGAATTGTTACGAAACTCGGTATGGGTCATCAGTACGATGCCCTGAAGGACCCTGAGAAGTTTCGAAACAGCGCCACCTAGTGGTGAATTGTTTTATTCAAACGCTTATAACTTTGGGTGTGGTACACTTATTTTCACGGGAGTCATATTTTTGAGGTCCTGAATCGTTGCCGAGTCCAACGATACCAAATATGTCGGGTTTCGTCTCACGGATGGCGTAGCGTAGCGATTTAGCGCGAAAAAAACACTTGGCGATATCTTCAAAACCGCTGTTCCGATCGAGACGAAACCACCGCCAGAAACACGGAATCATAGCTTGTTAACTATACGCTAATGCCCAAATGCGAAAATATTGATAGTAAGGGGTAGTAAAATTCAAACAAAGTCATGTGTCAGTCATTTTTTACGTGTTTTTTCATATAAATGTTTATAACTCGGAAGCAAATTGAGATATTTTCACCAAAATTGACACACATATGTATGGGGTCACTCTGAGGACACATAAAAACAATTGTGGGACTGAGCCTCTTGGTGGCGCTATAATAGAGCAAAACGTGAAATTCCCATTGACTTCAATACAGTTTTGTGAAATACAATGCTATACTAAACAAATGCTTTGGTCTAACATTACGAAACTCAGTGTGTGCCATAAGCAGCATGCCCTGAAGGTACTCAAAAGATTTTGAGACAGCGCCACCTGTTGGTCAAAAGTTATAATTAATTTCTGAGAACGCTAATAACTTTTGAATAAATTTGCCTATTGCAATGAAACTGATCTTAATAGATTCCTTGGGTTATGCCGAAAACATAGATATCAGGTTTTGCATAATCAGCCAAACTTCCTGTCCGCCATCTTTATTTCTTTGAAAAGCCTTCTTTTTCGAACTCCTCCTAGACCGTTTGTCCGATTTTCACGAAAATTTAATCGTATCATCTCCAGACCGTGCCGACTAAAATTTATGAATTGCACGATGATAGACAAAACTGTTTTGGTATACCACCGCATCAAAGTTTAGGCATGCTGCCAAAATTACTATTTAGGCTTTATCTCTGCAATGCCTTCACATTTTGACACCAAACTTTGCATGTGTCATTGTCACCTCACTCTGACCACATCACATCTATTTCGTAACTGCGCCACCTATTGTTCGAAAGTGATAACCCATTAAATCATCTTATAAGTTAATGTTTATGTGATTTTCTTAGCCATTTGCCCAAAGTTCTCTCAAAATGCCCTTAATTGCTCCTTGCTGCAGTTGGTCTGCCACTCCTTGCCATTTTGGCATATGTTGCCGCTTTTTGCGCTTGGCCCCGGTAATGGCTGCTTGCAGCTATATTTTAAATTAGAATAGTGTTTGTGGGTGAATTATAGCCTGTCACACTCTTTAGTTACACAAGTTCAGGTCATTTGGCACTGGAAGGGGTTTAACGTCAGTCTGTGCGAAGGCCAATAATGAAACGTTCAAGTGCAAACATCTCACACTGTTATTTCCGTGTACTGATGAAACGCTATAAATCTAGAGGAACCGTTTGGCTTTGTCCAGCTAGTGTGTGTTCACAAAAAGCATTGTTCCATTGACTTAGTGTTTGATTGACAGTGGTTTTGATCTCTATAGGCATTGCGGCACATCCGTATGTGTGAACTATAGACATGAACAGTGTGTTCAGTGCATAAACAGGACGCTGTGGTTTCCAATTTCACTGTGACATCACAGCTGGTGCGTATAGCTCAAGAAGGAATGGAGCAGCTGTTCTGCAGTGACATAAGTCCCCTGAAACTGCCATTTTGTTTTGCTAAAGAACTTATATGTCCTTTTTTTTGGCCATTTATCTTTATAACACGTATTAACTTGGGGACTTTCTAGAGAAAATAAAGTGATACTGTCATGACGCCAAGATGTTTTGGTAACACTTTGCAAAAAGCTTTCTCGTTATTATCATTAGTTAAAAAACTAAGACTGAGTAATACTTAGAAAAATTAACCGTGGTTTTATTGTATTAACAATGTTTTTTTGTTTTTTTGGCAGACTGTTTGCGATTTGTTTATCCACACTTTTACTACAAATACCATGGTTAAACTATGGTTAGTGAACTACAATAACCATGTTTTTTTTTTTTTTTGGGGGGGGGGGGTATTTGTAGTTAAACCATGGTTAATTTTTGTATTATTAATCTTAGTTAATAGTAATCTCAATTTACTAACATTTTAAGATCCAGAGTTTATTACCTCCCAGATAGCAAACTGACATTGAATCAACGTGGAAATATGACAACGTTGATCTGACATAGTTTTGCTCATCGAATTAACGTTGAACCAACGTCAGACGCGTCATTCTTTCAAAACTAACGGAAAATCAACTTGAAATCAACGCATTGTTTCAACGTTATGAAAGCAAACCAATTTGCGATTTTCATTTAGCTTTGAAGAATGCCGCGTCTGACGTTGGTTCAACGTTAATTCGATGAGCAAAATCAACGTTGTTTCAATGTCATGAGAGACGTCGTTTCCACGTTGATCCAATGTCAGTTTGCTGTCTGGGCTATTATTATCAACAGTTAATAAATGCTAAAAAATAAACTGCTCATTGTTATTTTATGTTAGTTAATGCATTAACTAACAGTTAATGTTAGCAAATGGGAGCTGTGTAAAATGTTACTGTTTTTTAGCATGTTGTTAATGCTAAGATGTTGAATGTGCAAGTTAGCATGTCGCCAGTGTGTTTAAAAAGAGCCCACAAAAGTCTTTGTTTTTCTGGAGTGTAATTATTTCTTGATTTCATTCTTCAATGTATGTTTGTGGTAATATTTTGTGACCCGTTATAAAGTAGCACATCTCCTCGACAAAACACTCGATCATAAGTGACTGTGTGAAAATATAAGGTTCTTGATTTGCTATATGATTCTGTGGAGATTGTCAAGTTCTTAGTGTCACATGTATGATCCTCTGATTAGCTTTTTGGTTTCTGTGTCCTTTAAAGCAGCAGTAGCGAATAGATGGATTTCTAAAGAGCTAGCAAAATACAGTTCAAAATCATTCTCCAATGACATCAGGCTGTAAAACTTTTTTTTTTTTTTGGTTCTATATTTTTAAGATCTGATCTCACATTTATAATCCCAGGCACTTTGGGTTGCTACTAATGCTAATAGTGAATGAAGGTGTGTTAAACCAACAACTGTTAGCCTATTCATTCTCCATTTAAACATTAATTCATCACAGTCAAGTTTTGAAAGTCTCTTTCTTGTTTTCGCACCAGCTAACTTAACTGTTAGAAAAGATTAGCAAGCTGTTTGACTTCTATGAATGAATGTTGGAGGTTTTTATTACAAAGGGAGGCTTATTTCTGAGTGGGAAGGAACCAGAATGTGTGATGGTTTGAAATATTTACACTTTACTTTGTAAATTCCAATCATAGTGCGAATAACTTCCACAGTTTCAGTGCGCTAGCCAGCTCAAAAAGACAGTCATGTGACTAGCATGCGCCTGACTAGAATAACAGCCCTTCCCCCAAATGACACATATGCCTGCAAGAGTAAACTGAGAGGTTCTATGCATACATTGAGCTGATTTGGACTTTGTTTTATATAAAAAGACAATTAAGTAGATGTCTGAATTTCTTACAGGTAAAACCCCTCAAATGTTATCTTTAG